GGGGGGGGGTTGAAACCGCAGGACCCGAAGAAAACCCATGACGTTGGACAGGTGACCCTACTCCTTGTCATGTACAAGCAGGGAATAGAAACCATGTTATATCACTCAATGACGGACCTTATGATCCACAACGCATGTGTAAACCATTCGGCCACGCAACCCCTCTACGTCCAAAACAACACTATTTATTGTAGAAATGACAGTGTGAATAAGCTACACAAATCTGTATACTCAAAATCATTTACCCTAAATCCCAAGCCATATTAACTGACTTCATCTCGCACGCTTGGAGAATATCTTATGAGGCTAAAATAAACGTCTATCAGTAAAACTATTAGAAATAATTATTTGACGCTCTGCGGTTTAACCAAGAGCCATATATAAAGATGGCTAGACAGATTTTAATAAATTAAATAAAAGTAATAAAAAAGTTTTTTTTATGTTTATAATTTTTTTTTTATTACACCTAGTTCATATGTAATTTTTTTTATATATTTCAATCTGTCAATAACATGATGTATTATGTATTGGATGTTAAATTTGTAACAAAAAACTGTGGCCATGGTTGCCATTTTATTACATAAACTGTCAGTTGGACAGATCAACATTACAAATGAAATGAAATGGGGTTTAACGTCCTAATGTTCTGCTCTGAATGGGATAATGAAATGAAATGGGGTTTAACGTCCTACTGTTCTGCTCCGACTGGGCTAATGAATACGGACATATGCCATGTAGTGTGCTATGAGGGAAAGTTTGACCGGACAGAGGCGCAACAGTCTCGTCTTATTTTTCAAATTCCAACTGTCAAGTGATCTTTTATGTGCACTCCAGTTTGCACATGGGACATCAGTTTTCCATCCCTTCCAAACAACTATACATTATCCTTTGCCAGACCCTCCGTCCCACACCCCTGACAATTGGGAACCACATCAGAAAATCATGATAATTTTTTGGGCCAATGCGGGGATCAAAAATGGGACTTCCAGGTTGTCGAGCCAACATCCTTCCTACACACCGAGCCCCAGTGGCTCCCTCAACATTAGAGCAAAACAGATTTTAAAAAATGGTTCTGCTTAAGATACGAAGGATGAGAGATGGAAACTGTGCATAGCAGTAAGATTAGACAAAACTTAAGCAGTCGCCAGGCAAGACAAATCCACATTCTGCAAGAGAAGGACAGAGAACAAGCTAAAAAAACCTGATTTTTCAGGACAATCAAGGGCTAAAATATAGAAAGTTAAGGTCTGATATGCATGAATATCTACAGTAACCTAGATCTGTTGAGCATATAAACATAATTTAAGTTTCATCAAAATATGATAAAAATTGTGACCTATAGATAGTCCAAAACCTTGGTATTACCTACTTTTACACTATTTGCGTACAAGGAGTGGCCATTTTGTTAGGCAGTTTCAGAACCAAGATGTGGGAGTATAAAAAGCCATTTTGTTACCCAATTACAATTGGAACAATAGTTTGCCAGAGTTTTTGGTTCAAAATATAACAACCAAGATCAGAAGGCGAACGAAATCCAACTACAAAATCTTAAAATGTGCTTTTAATTGACCATGTGTATGACAGCACTCCACAAATTAAATTCTTCCCTCACTAAAGTTCACAAGATCCATCTAGTTACAACACTTTTGTAAGTTTATCATATGGTTTGCACTTGCAGATAATAGGATAATCACAATATATTCGAGACAAAGATCGTCAAGCTATATATCCTGATCTAAAAACCTGCTGGAGTCACCCTCACGCTGTTACCAGATAATTACTTAGAAGGCACAGGTCAACGCGAAATCCTGTTTTCATGTTCATGTTATTAAGCATGGGGTTATTCAAAGAAAAATTCTATTAAAATCACATGAAGGGTTATTTGCAGAAGAATAGCATACCTGTTTCTATCTCTATGCACATTAGAAGGAGGCTAATTTAGTAATTAACAATCACACCCATTTTCAACCTCTTTAGTATTTCATTATGGCTATAAGATTATTTTAGCAAGATGGGATTAGATAACATATAAGGTTAGTTGTAGGTGCACATATGGCCAATGATATCCCCCCCCATTGACTTTAATGTTAATTCTCGTCTCTTAGACTGGCTTTAACTTTTTCCCAAATTTTCATTGGGTAGAACACTTTCTACCACGGATGGAGCAATAAACATTTCAACCTAACCAACTTCTCAACTCACGTATCCTTCCGTCTCCAAATGATGAATATTCACCAAAACCTGATTCCACACCAAAAAGTCAACAATAATCACCATGCAAAAGGTGGGGGGGGGGAGGGAAAGGGATAAAAAGACTAAACATAACTTTCGCCCTTCATTAGTGAGCTGTGTCTTATATCAGCTTTCACCGCCATTACTAGTATATCTATTGGGTTGCATATCGTAAAATGGGCTTAAGTCAACTAGAGGCGAAAAGGCAGTTTGGGGGTGAAATAAAATGAAATGGGGTTTAACGTCCTACTGTTTTGCTCCGAACTGGGCTAATGAAGACGGGCATACGCCATACAGTGTGCTATGAGGGAAATTTTGCCCGGACAGCGCCACTACGGCCTACTCTTATATCGAATTCCAACTGTCAAGGGATCTTTTACGTGCACGCCAATGTGTACACGGGACCTCGGTTTTTCGTCCCATCCGAACGACTAGACAGCTGTCCTTGTCAGCCCCTCTGCCCTGCATCACTGACATGCGAGAACCATGCCGGAAAATCTGGATGAACTTTCTCGGCCAATGCAGGGATCCAGTTTGGGGGAATTGCACCAAGAGAGAATTGGGGTTTAACATCCACTCAACACAAACTAGGGACTAACACATGGTTTAATTTTATTTCAATAATTCGCTTGCATGTAGGGGTCTTTAGCAGTGGGAGGAAACCGGAGGACCCGGAGAAAACCCACAAGGTTGGACAGGTGACCCAACTCCTTGTCACGTACAACCGGGGAATCGAAACCAGACCATTTGAAAAACCTAATGACAAACCTAATGATACAACGCACACATGCTAACCATTCACCCCCCCCCCCTTGTGCATTACCATGTTTTTATTAAGCATAGAATGAATAAAAACAAGGAAATGTATGGACTATTTCTATTTTTCTTGTTTTCCCTTATCTAGTGACATTCGATTACTGTTTTGAATTATCAGATATCACAGCCTCACATAACAACTTTTGATCTTTGAAGGAATTATTAGTGAGAAGAAATTCGCCCTTGTATCTGTTATCACTTGTCACTTCCGTCAGTTATATAGAAGGATAACTCATGTTTTCCTTTTGCGTTTCGTCACTTCCCATTACGCATCTATCGTAGCAATGATCTCGGTGTTAAAATTATATTTGGAATGTGTTTAACCAGTTCTATCACATATGTGATAATGACTGACACCAATATTGTCCTTTAACAGTAGCCCAGTTCTATCACATATGTGATAATGATTGACACCAATATTATCCTTTAATAGGATACCCATAACCACAATCATAATTTCTAACTATGGGGTTACTCACAGAAAAAGGGATTTGGATCAAATCAAAGGTTAGCAGTAGAATATCAAAACTATCCCATACCCATTTAATATAATCTATTTGATATCTAGCTATGGGGTTAAATCACACAAAGGGTTAATAGCAAGCCTGGAAATAAGGCACCAGTCACAGACAATGTCAGGCATAGATTCAGGCTTTGTCAGGCACAAAACGTCTATTGCCTGTCAATTTGTCCGGCCCTGATTTGTCTTTTTTATTGATATTATTAATACATGTCAGCATTAAGTTGAAAATGTCAGGTACTATTTCATTAGTGTCTGACATTTTGTCAGGTACATCAAAAACCGTTATTTCCAGGCCTGGTTATTAGTAGCAGAACATTGTATCCCATCTCTACTAGTATTATTAGCAGCATTTTTCATTCTAGCTAATAAGGTCATTCATAGTAAAAAGGGGTTAGTAAAATGAATAAAGGGTTAGTAGGCGAAAATCATACCCGTAACTTGCTACTGCTGTCCTGAAAACCAATCATCAAATAATTGTAATTTTTAATGGGTGCAATATTATGTCTGTTTCTCCCATTGAAAAACCTTTGCCCCAAAATCAAATAGGCTACGTCGGATATTCTCCCTGATTAACCCAAGGCCAGAGAAATAAGTGAAGGGAAGATCATATTATTGAAGCGGTGGTTACAAGCATTATCAACTCATTAAACATCTAATAGCAAGTTACTGACAATTGTTTTCATTGGTCAACTAGGTTTCTGCCAGACCAATCAAAACAGTTGATACAACTTTTCTGGTGTATTTACTTCATTAATCATTGACAAACTATAATAGCATTAAGTTATTGACAATTGTTTTTATTGGTCAACTAGGTTTGTGCAAGACCAATCAAAACAGTTGATACAACTTTTCTGGTGTATTTACTTCGAATATATTGAAGCTATTATCATTATGCGATGTATGTTATAAATGTTTCTTTCTGGAACATTCATTGATTTAATCAACAGAAATTCCCAATACCGTCTATATAAAAGTTATTTTGCTGGTTGTCGGGTTCCAAAGTTGTAGATTAAAAAATAATTTGGGCTTTGGGAACACAAGTGATTATCAACTGACTAGACATGGAAGTATTTATCGATTCGGTTTACAGTATGGCATACAAATAATACAAACAACAAAGTTCTTATCCGATGTAAATATCCCCGGTAATGGCAGTTAATATAAATTCTGAATGTGAAGCTATGAAATCAAGCCTATATATATATCAGCTAACTATGTTAAATTAAAAAAATCACTGACTCTACATTCTTAAAGATAATGCTAATGTCTTGGTTCTTGAAAGAAATGCCTACATTGACTTGACTCGTCCATTTTGAGCTAATGAATTTAAGAATCTGACAATTCCCCCTCCCTGAACAAGCCACACCCTCTCCCATCCCCCTAACAACCATCTGTCATGTCGCCAATCAATGTGTACAAAATATCTTACCAATTCCACGGAACCATAATGTCGTCTGCTGAACACTCCTCGTCTGGCAGCTAAATCGGATGCCGGTGAACTGAAAAATACAAAAAAATACACCCATAAATATTTCAGTTTCTGAAAATTCAATTGGTAAAAAACAGGTTTGGTCTCTGTTGATTACACTGGAGTTTGTTCTTCAATAAGTTTTTAAGCAATTGTTTAGGGGGTTTTGCAACATGGTTTCCCCTTGTCAGTGGTGCAGGATGGAAGGAAAAATACATCAGGTGAGGAAACCATTTCTGTGATATAATAGTAAGTGAAGGAGAATTACACCACACACAAATAACCAGACACCAATCAGACAAATCTGCGGACACGGCACACAACACAGTAGGCCTAGGCCCTATGGATCGAGATGAGAGCTTCAGGTTGTATGAAAATCTGAAGTAGGCCTACTTCTATATTCTGCAAGATTTAAAAAACATTAGCCAAAATTCCCATACACACACTCCAAGTTTGTGTTTTCCGTGCCATTGATATTATTTTGGGCTTTATATAAGGTACGAAAAAGAAACATTTTTTTGACAAAAAATAAAAAATATGATTTTATTTTATTAATATAATTTATTTATTTTTCAGTTGTTGCTTCATCATTTTTTAAATAAATATTCAATATTCGGCTGAATTACCACCGCCTCTGGTTTACCCCAGTTTATCCTACAGCCCAATGTTTTCTCCTCCATCGATATAATTTATTAACCCTTTAGCTCTTGGATCAAGCGAAACGGCTCAAATCTTGTGCTCTTGTGGCAGCCTATATGAAGCAGTATTTTCAGATGGTTTGGAGCTGTCCAGGGGTATAAGGGTATGTAATATATCGCTTTTCTTTATTATTTATATTTTTATAAAGGAACCTATGTAATCAATTGCAATATTCATATTGATAAAGGGTTAATATTTCTTTTTTATTTATTTTTTTTAATTTTCTATTTCATATCCGGTGTAAGAAAATGAGTAATGAACACAAAAATTTTTAAATAATTTGTCATTTTGATGCATTACTGAACTTCTTTTATTTACAAGAACCGATAAATATTTCATTTGATTGATTATACCTTCTTAATGGTTTACATTTTTATGTATTTTACAATTGCCATCGAGACGGAAATTCTCAAACTCCTTTATAAATGCTGAAAGAAATATCATTCCTCTTTATATGGCATAAATAGACTTCAATTAATCACTGTCATTGCTATGTCAAAACATAATACAACATGTTTCCTATATATGTAGTTGGGGTGTTGGGTGGTTGAGAGCTACGGAGAGAGAGAGAAATGGAGACAAACTAGGTCATTTCGGGACTAATGCATGGTTCAATTTTATTTCACTAATTCGCTTGCGCTGTATCATAAGGTCTGTCATTGAGTCAACTTGCGTGGTTTCGACTCCTCGGTTGTACGTGACAAGAAGTAGGGTCACCTGTCCAACCTTGTGAGTTTTCTCCAGGTCCTCGGGTTTCCACCCACTGCCATAGACCCCCTACGCGCATACAAATATAAAATTGAACCAAATGTTAGTCCCAAAATGACCTAGTTTGTGTCGAGTGGAAGTTAAACTCTCTCTCTCTCTGAGAGAGCTCTAATTCATGCACTTCAGTTTGCAAGACCTGTAATTGAGTCAAGTGGCATGGTTTTAATCCAAATTCCTGGGTTTTCTCAAGGTTCCTCCAGTTTCCTCCCTCTGCTAAAAGACACATGTTCGCAAGCAAATTATTTAAATAATATTGCACCATATTTTCATCCGAAAATGACCGGATTTGTGTCCGTTAAACCCGATTTCTCTCTCTATATTTTACATTTGTGATATGGTGCATGGACATACTTAATGGCGTCTGTTATAATTCAACTATTTTTATTACAACTTGTGGGTATCATTTAGTTGTGTTGTTTTAGCGGAAGACAGATCCTTTAAACTACACAACAGAGAAAGAGAAATGGGGTTTAACATCCACTCGACACAAACTAGGTCATTTCGGGACTAACACATGGTTCAATTTTATTTCAATAATTTGCTTGCGTGTAGAGCTCTTTAATTAGCAGTGGGAGGAAACCGGAGGACCCAGAGATAACACACGAGGTTGGACAGGCGACCCTACTCATTGTCAAGTACAACCGGGAAATCGAAACCCCGCCAGTTGACTCAATGACAGACCTTATGATGCAGCATGCACATGCTAACCATTCGGCCAGTGGTTTTTATGATTCTCAATGGATTCTAACAGTTTTCCAACAATGGTTTGAAACTAAACACTAAATACAAAAACTCCTGCTAAACAACGCAACTAAAGGATACCTGATTGCTTAGTAACAGCCCTACAAATCAAATGTCGTTTCCATTAAAAATTTAGAAACTTTACGATTACCTCTGAAAACATATTGTAGAACATTTATAACAGATAATCACCATCGACACGTTTAAGACTCTGACTAATGGATTAATGGGGTTATCAATTTCACGATCAATATCCTATTAATAGATGTAATTGATCGAAAATCATTTAGTTCAATTACAGAAATAAAATACAATACGGTCAAATTCTAGTCGACTCTCAATCAAAGAAAAGCGTAATTTTCTGTTGTTTAATGTCAAGAGTGCGATGTAGTTAAAGTAAAGATGTGTCATTTACTTTTTTGGATAAATATCAAACTTTGCATGGCTAATAAGAGAGAGAGAGAGAGAGAGAGAGAGAGAGAGAGAGAGACTTGGGTCAAACTCGAAACAAACTAGGTCATTTTGGAAATAATATATGGTTCAATTTTATTTCAATAATTGGCTTAATAATGAAAGTCTGGTTTTATCCAGACATCGTATAATACAGTTTGGAAGACCGTTTTCCATTTCCAGATGAAGACTGACAGGTTTATGTTGTTTGAAAACGTACCACATATATTGATTTAGTTTCTTGGCCCTAAGGCAGAGGACTTTAAGGGCTTTTAACATGAAATTAAGCAGTTTTATTCTCCAAAACATAATCAAAATTGTCCCTTTAACATTTAATTAGGAAATCAACATACCAACGCGAGGTAATGTTGCAACATGAAGCAATAAAATTAATTAGTATCGCAAATGGAACTTGAGTAATTTCAGAGTCTTTTTGTTGTGTAGTAATCTAAGATGTGCCTTTGAACGGCTATTTCTGTTAAAGAAAGCTTTTATCATTACCCGCTCAAAATTGACATCGGAATGAACTACTCATTGGGTTATTTTTCCAGAAATTGTGACATAATTTCGTGATGGCTGGAGGGATCATCTTCATCTTGAAATAGAAATATGAGAACTGTCGATGAAATGAAGAATGGGACACTGTAAAAGGATTATTAATGGAAGTTCAAGCGAGACTGATGTTCTTTTCGGATTTTATGATTTAATTATATAAAGACTTAATAATGGCGTCAGTCTTGACAGGAAATCAACATCGCGGATTGATTTAGGTTGCGACAGTAATAAGGTTTAATCTGGTCTGATCGAGTGTGACGCAAATGGTCGTGATGAAAAAAAAAGAAAGAATTTGATGCTGTAGAACCAAGACGGAAATAAAAGATGATTTGGTAAAATAATGACGTCACGTGGAAGAGGAAATAACTGTCTTTAAACCAAGATGACCTTTTCATTACTAAGATTTTCTTCCTAGCTTTATAATTATCTGTTTTAAAATAGTCCAGGGTTCTATGAACAGGCAGTATTTAATACAGTCATCCACCTAATATTAAACATACATTATGCAAGAGTTAAATCTGTCTATTGCAGGTCTTTCTTTAGGCCTGAAATGTTATCTAAATTATTAATTAGACATTAATTAACCTATCTAGACCATAATCAACTCTTGATGGCATCGCTAGCCTGCGATCTTTAGTGGATAATGAGCCGATTTACTGCATAATTTTCAATCACGATTTAATGATTAAATGGATAATCAAGACTATGCTGTTTATCGTACTGACTTTAGTAATGGATATCGATGCTAGGCTGAAATTTAAACTGCTCAATTTTCGGTACATAGTGGATCAATTCGAATGAAATTTTCAGCAAATTGCCTTTACATTATCTAGTTTTTAACTATTATAGTGAAAACTGCCAGCTCGTTATCTAATCTCCTATAATGTATCTTTAAGGGCTTTCAAGTAAAGTATGTCTAGTTGTTCAGAAGGGGCAAAAAATAAAGGCGAGTCCATTGATATAGATGTTATTGACCAGTGAGACATTAAATCCAATTGCACATATAAAAATTACCATAAATATATATCTCTTTCTCATAATGACCGATATATTGTGAGATATTAGTATGACTAGGTAGTATTTAATACAGTCATTCACCCAGTATTAAGTTGTCTGCGGTATCACCTCGGTGGAAGATGACGTTAAATAAAGCTATTTAACCTCTAGGTTCTCCAGATTCCTTAATTCATTAAAGACTCTTGTGCGCAGGTGAATTATTGATGTAAAGATATACCATATATTAGTCTCAAAATGACCTAGTTTGGGTTGAACCCCCTTTCCAACCCACTTGCCACTGAAACAAATCACAGAAATATGATCGACTTGGGTCAAAATAAAGTATGGAATCGGAATGATCTAATTCAAATAATTATGCTTTAAAGGGACAATAACACTCTTGCTGGCTTGAAAGCTCCAGAAAATAAATAATATCTCTATCTAAGTACTAGATGTTTAAGTGTCCTACCTGTTGTGTAAATTATCCATTACATCCTATTTTACTTGTCCAGAGGGTTCGAAAATATTTTTAAATCGAAGTTTCATTTGAAAAGGTTTACGTTAGACGTTTCAAACCATTATGTTGAATTTTCAAAATTTTTAAATAAGGTGTGTTAAGATGAAATTTGTATCATCAATTAATTGAAATATTCTAAAATAGTACAATTTGTTGACCAGAATAAAGATTGAGACATATTATTCAGTTACAACAAGAGTGGTATTGGGCCTTTAATGCTAAATAATTTTAGATCAATTTTTAACTTCAGCTCATAACATGAACACCCTATCGATTATATCTTAACATTGGCTTTTGTATATGGA